CCCCAACGTGCGCGACAGGTCCCCCCCGCACCGGCTCGGCATGGAGGGCGCCGCGCTCAGCGACCACCAGGTGAGCAGCAACTCCGCCTGTCAGCTCCCCTATAGGTCCGCGCCCTCCCTATACCGCCACGCCACCCCCTACTCCTACGACTGCACTAAGTATTGAGTAGCCGCCACTCCGTCGCCTAGGGCCATTCGCAAAAAATAAAAAAAAAATACAAAAAAAAACCAAAATAACGACAATAATAATATTAATTAAAAATCGGGAGGAAAAATAATAAAAAATGCAACGCCAAAGAAACGCTTTCAACTGCGTAAAGGAAAGATTGGACAAGCTCTCGGTGGACCTGGGGACCACAGAGTTTGCAGATCCCAGGCCCTGCTTCGGGCCCCTCTAAATTCTGGGCAAGTAAATTCTACTTGAAAATAAAAGGGATCGCTCTTTAAAAAAAGTCTATATATATGTCTTATCTAAGCAAAGTGGCAAATTTTATATGCTAAAGTATAGGGAGTCTCAGAAAATAAGTTATGGACCAATACCGCAGCGACCAGTTATACGATTTAAAAGAAAAAAATATATAAATATATATATATAATTATATGTCCTGGGTATTTTTTAAGTTCTCTGTTGTGCTGTAAAAAATGTGTCGATTTCTAATCAGGCTAATTTTCAGAGCCATTAATATAATATTTAAAGTTGAGTTCACTGGATTATTTTTGTGTCGCCCAACAATTTCTAACTTCCAAATTAATGACAAGTGATTTCTTGTTCTTCTTCTTCACCTTGCTCTTTTTTTTCTTCTGTGTACAATTATGCAATAGAATTTCTCTCATTTTTAGAGTTTCTTTTTTTTTCAAGACGAGGAAATAATTTATTTTTGCTGGTGGATTTTTGAAAGAAAAAAAAAGGACAAAGTATCTGATACTTTTTTAATTATTATTTACAACGTGTGATGTTTTGTATAATAGATTTCACCTTGACCATTCCTGAGGACTGTTTGCTTTAATCTGCTTCAAAGTTCGTTTTGTCTTATGTGGTCTTAATTGTTGTACTTACCTTAAAATAAATCCATGCTGTTTCATTTTCCCTGCTCCAAGTCTGACGCTTCTGTGTGTGTAAATATACATGTTTTTTGTTTTGTTTTTGTTTTTGCAAGTTTGCTCCCCTTCGCCTTTCCTGCGTGTGGGGAGTTGGTTGCTTTTGAAAGAAAGTCATTTTCCTGGAGCCTAGAGGTTCCTTATGATGATTCCTCTGGGAAAGCTTCGGTTCAGGTGGAGGGCGCCTGCAAAGCAATTGCCCCGGGCCTCCAAAAGCGAGAGAAAGAAAAGAAAGAAAAAAAAAAAGAAAAAAGAAAAAAAAAAAAAAAAGAGAGGAGGGGGGCTGGAAGCTGCTGACCCGGGAAATGCTTTTTCTCTTGCTCTGTCTGCAAACGTGGGCCTCCTGCTTGCTTTCCCCCCGCGCTCCGCCGCGATGTCCCAAATTGCCACGTTTTAATCAAGCCAGCGGCCCCCGGGTTTGCAGGAGGGCCGAAGGGCCGCGGTTTGTGCGGGTACTACGGGCTGTCATTTAAACCAGAACTCGTAGCCGAGCTTAAATATTGCAAGCGGCTCGTTTAGAATGAGTTTATATCTTTAAACACTCTCTTAAATGAAGATGTGGCTGCCTTAACCTCTTTTTAAAAATCTATTTACTCTCCTGTTCTTAATGCCCAGCTCTGACAGATGTCGTGTTAGAGCGACGAATTTTCCTTTTATTTTTGTTTATTTTTTCCCCTCATATCGCCGAAAAGCCACTTTACCCACTTGCAGAAATGCAGCTAGGGTTGGCGAAGAATAATCCTAAAATCTTGCACTTTCGGCGCGTTTTCAAGCCCCGCTTGTTTCGCAGCTGCGGAGATCGCCCAGAGGCTCCGCACCGTCCAACAACAGGCGGGCAATAAAGTCCGCGACGAACGCGGCCGAATGGGGACATTTTTGGGCCGCCCTTTGCCCCCCTCTGCTTGCCTCAGTCTCCCCCGCCCCGCTCCAGCAGTTTTTAGGGTGAATATCCACGCTGGGTTACAGAAGAGTTCTACTCGTAGCAGGCGCTTAAAATCGATGACACAAATTAATTTTGATCGGGTGCATTTCACATGCGCTAGAAAACCTGGCAAAACACACTGAAAGACTCGCTTTAAATGAGAAAAAAACGTCCGGGCTCACTAGATCTGTATTTTAAGGAACATTCTTGTAAAACTCTTACCATTTTTCCTGGCTCGCAGAGGGCAGCTTTTTTTTCTTATTTCTTTTTTTTTTCTTTTATTTATTGCAATAAAATCTAAAGCGCTAATCTAAAGAAGGAAAGATAAAAATAAAAATAAAGCAGGCAAGGATTTTTTCTCCCCTCCTAAGATCCCCCTTCCCGGAGCTTTTGCCACTGGCGCTCCCGAGCCGCTTTCCCACTCGTGTCGGGCCGGGGGCCCCGGGAGGGCTCGGGCGGCCCTTGCCCTCGGGCTGTCGGGGGAGCCAGCACGGGCTCTGGGCTGGGGTGTCCCCCATCCTCCTGTCCCCTGGCTCTGACACCCCCTCCACGAGCCGCGCTGCTGCTGGACAGTTCCTGGGGGACTCCGAGCGCGTCGGGGCCACGTCGGGTTCGCACCTTGGTCAGCCTTAGAGGTCCCTTCTCTACCCGTTGGGGAGGGCGGTCCTCCCAACGCCTTTATTTGTTTATTTTGCCATCTCGCACCCATCGAGGCGAGGTGAAACATTCCCCCACTCCCAGCTACGGGTAATAGCAATAGTGAGGGGTATGTCCACCCCCCAGCACCGACCCCTGCCCGTGCCTGCCCCAGCTGCCGTCGAGTCCTTCCTCGCTGCTGGACGATTCCCTTCAAGGGGGCAGCGCCTGTCGCAGCGGTCACAGCTGAGGATGGCGGGGCTGCTGGTAGTGGCAGCAAGGAGGCCCGTCTCGGGGGGCTCTGCCAGGTGCCTGGGCCGTTTCCCCTCCCCTCTGCCTTCGCAATTGCAGGATTTCAGCAGCTTAGCCGAAAAATAGAAGCCCTCTGAGGCGCCGAGAGCAGCAGGGGCCCAGGAGCTTGCAGGACAGAGGTTCCCATCCGGGCTGGCACGGCACAGGGGCAGGAGGTCTCCTCAGACCCTCTCCCGCTCAGAAGCTCCCGCTCTCTCCCCCAGAACCAACTAAGGGGCTGGCTGGGGTGCTCCGGGCAGCACCGTTAAGGCCTGGCGCCCCTGTGGTGCTGCTCACCCGGATCCGACGCACAGTGCAGATGGGTGCAGTCCCCTAAGAAAGACCATCAGAAGGCTTTATTTAAGGGCTCAAATTTGGGGTTCAAACAGGCAGCAGTCTGGCAGCCTCCCCTCACTGTGGTTCATCCAGAGGGACCCTCCCTCACAGCCATCGGGGATTCCACATAAATCCTGTGATCCCGTTCAGGGAGGAGGGAGTCTGCAGTGACTCACTGGGGTGATGAGACATTTTTCATGATAGGTGATTTAAGCCAGGCCAGGGCAGAGAGGGAGGAAGGAGGCAGCGTTGGGTAGAGCATCCCTGGGAACCCCTATGAACAGCCTGTCCCTTCGACCTGGCTGCAACACATCCCTTCTCATTCCCGATGTTCTCCCTACCCTCTAATCACCCCTTTGCTCAGGGGCAGCCCAGTCCCCTAGTGCTTAGGACAACGTCTGTGCCCAAACCCTGCCAGACCGGGGCCCGCAAGTCCTTGCAACCAAGACTGGCACAAACCCCGGGCCAAAACTGGCGCCGGGGGCCAGCTGAAGGCTGCTCCATGGCTGGTTACCCTGGGCCCAGGTCCAGCTTGGTTCCGGGCAGCGGATGAGGCCAGTGCTTGGGGTTTTATTGCTGCCTTGCCGCTAACCTGTGGATTTGCAAACCTGTCTGAGAGCCCAGACAGCTCAGGTTTTGAAAGGGGAAGGGACGGGAGTTTTCCAGCTCATCCCTTCTCCGTGCAGCTGAGAAGATCTGTGCTCAGAAAGGCCGCCCAGCTGAGCCATCTCTCCTGGTGCTGTAGGATCTGGGTAAAACACACTGTTCTTGGGAAGGCCAAAGCACAGCACAGGCACCACGCTATCTGTCCTATACAAAAGCCACTCTGTCTCCTCTTGAGCATCTTAGATGGGTTCTGCAATGCAAAAGGAGAAGGTGATCTTGGCGAGGAAGGCTTCTGCCTCTTCTGTTACTTTAGAGGTGACTTTGCATAAAATGCACAGCAGGCACTGGAGGCTGCGAGAGGATGAAACTTGTCCCCTCCTGACTTGGTGCTCGTGCCGAGCATCCTTGCAGCTGCACGGTGCTCTGCCCTGGCCGAGGGGCTGGCGGTTCTGCTGCCCACCATGCCCCACCAGCCTTAGCTTAGGGTGAACCTGCGGAGCAGGATGATGAAACGGGCTTCAACCTGGGGCTGGAGCTGGGGGGAGAAATGCACAAGTGTTGTAGCCTCTTCTGAAGAAACTTCCCCAAGGGCTGGAGCCAGGCAGATGCTCCTGGCTTATTTGGCTCCCCCCAGTCCCTGAGCCTTGGCCAGTCCTGGCATCGGGGTGAGCTTGCAGGTGGCAGGAGTGGGGGGCACAGGTTGATGCCCAGCACGGTGGGGACCACGCAGGGCTCTTGGCTGCTGCTTTAAGAGGGGCCTGTCAGTCGGGGAGGAGGGGAAAGCCGCCCAGGGGCGCCCATCACCGGCCCTGCGTGTCTTCCGCCCATGGGAAGGGCTACGACGACAGCAACAACAACAAAGTCCCTCTAAACCGCGTCGCTCGCGTTCAGCCTCTCGCTTCCCCCCTCCCCCCGCAGCTCCGGGAGCCTCTCCGGTTACAAACACCCTCGAAGGCTGCTCCTGGGCGGATAAAGCCGCGGGTTTCAGCAATGACATGAGCAGGAGAAAGACACCAGGGAGCACATGAGCTGGGAACAAGGACCAGAGAGAAAAGCCGCATCTCTCCTTCCAAGGATTTCCTACCGCAAAGAGGGAGAGAAGAGGGAAAGGAAGCAGGAAGCAGCAATTTTACCGGGGGACACGGGTGAGGGCATAAGCAAGGGAGACCGTGTGCCCGTCCCCTGTCACACACGCGAGTATTCCTTGTTTTAATAATTCGTGCTTGGAGTGTCCCAAGGAGACAGGAATTGACCGGAGGTGAGAAGAGGGCAGTACAGGGCGGTGGGGGGAGACCCTCGGCCCTTTGCAGGCTGCCTTGAGGGTGCGGGCCGAATAAGCTAAATTGGGCTCTTCCTCATCCCTCGTGGGCGAGGATGCTGCCGGGGTGTGTGCGGCGGGGGGATGCAGAGGAGAGTTGCCCCCCACCCCTTCCCCGCCCCGTCGAGGCTAGGGGCGGCCCCCAGGCCCTCCTTCCTCCACCCCGCTTGCTTTTCCTTGAGGTTTTATTGCATTTATCGCACGCCGGGTGGTTGATGAGGGATGCGGCGGGTCCCGTGTCTGCACCGAGGGAGGGGGGCGGATACGGCGTTCCCGTCCTGGGCGGTGTTAACGGGGCTGGGATGAGCCAGTGAACGGAGAGAACCCCCAGCCCCTCGTGGAGAAGCGACCTCCGCGCACACCCCCTCGGTATTTTCTGTGTACTCATGGTGTCTTAAAGCACTTAGGAACCATTTGCGGCTCCCGAGCGGTCACGCTGGTTTGTTTTTATCCCAGGGGCTAAACGTCCTCGCCCGTTGGATTACTCGGGAAACCGCCGGATAGGAGCAGAACTGGGCAAGAAAGCTGGTTTAAGGGGAGCCTGCAGGGGGATCCTAGGAGGGTACCTTGGGTGCTGCAGGACACCCGGGCCCTGCTTTTACCTCTTCCTTTCCAGGTAAAAAACCCACCGTGGTGCCTACGTTCGGGAGAGGAGCTGCAGTGACGGGTTATTTCTCTCGGAAAGAGACAGTCCTTGGTGGAGGGAGGATGAAGGAGGCTCACAAGAGGGTGCTGGAGCCTCTGGATCAGGCCCTGCCAGCGCTGTATCCTCCGTGCTCTCGAAGGAGCAGAGACGGTGATGGCCTCAGAGCTGGTGCTGAAGGGAGCCCGGTTCAGCCGCGACCTTCAGGAAACGCTTTGTGCTTAATTTCCATGGCTTTATACAACACGGACCCCTACCCTTCCAACCCTCCTTTCCCTTTCCCGGGAGCGCTGATGCTCCGCGGGCAGCGTCTAACGGGGCGCCCCGTCGAGCCACCCGGACCCGGGGATGCAGCCGACACCTCCCGCCGGATCGGAATCCCTCGAGGCCCCGGATCAGAACTGTTACATCAGTAAATTAAAAAAAAAAAAAAAAAAAAAGAACTCATACCAACAACAGAAAACACAGCCCCAAACCTGGACGTTTATACAGAAAAAGAGCATCACAAATTCCTAATGTAAGCACCGGCCAGCTGTGTGCACTTGTAAAGTTGTTATAATCCCCCTCCTTGTTATAAACAGGAAAGTACATAATATAAAGCAACAGGCCCGCGTTCACAAATACTGACCTCCCCGAGCCTGCCAAATTCCCCAGTTCCCCTTCCATGCAGCTCGCTGCACCCCGGGAGCCCCCGCTTCGCCCCGCGGGGGCTCGGTCACCTCCCCTGGGCCGGGCCGGGTCGCTCCGCTGCCCCCCGCGCCCGGTGGCCACCAGTACCTGGACACCCTCCCCACCCAAATAACCCTCCCTCGGGATAGAAGCAGATCCCCCTCCCCTCCTCCCTACGGATCATCCCTTTTCCAGCATAATTTGCTTCTCTTCTGATGGATCTCCTTCCTCCCCCGCTCTATTTTTTTTTTTCGGTTTAATACCCCTCTTTTCCTCCAGGGTTTCCTCGCCCGCTCCTCCCCGCGCTCCAGCAGTGCACATCCTGCTCTGCTGTGTGTGCTTGCAGCGTCAAAGGGTGGACGTGATATTTCAAACATCAGATCAGTGCGTTTATATATTGGGTGCCCGGAAATTTTTCCAAATAAACACAGCTTGATTCGTCTTGGGTGGGCAGACTTATCAACAGACTAATTCTATAAACAAATGAAGGAATAACCCGGAGACCATTGGCTGGTACCAGCAAGACACGTGGAGAGTGCTTGGAGTTTTGTAGCAATGAAATTTTAATTAATGTGGGTGGGCTGAGAACACAAACGACTGTTTATCAGAGACAATTTATTTTCCAGTGCTAAGTCAACATATAATAGCAAACTTACAACAATTATTTAACTTTTTTTTTTTTTTTTTTTTTTTTTTTTTTAAGAGCTATGAAGCAGGGACAGAGGCAGAGCGAGCTCGTTCAGGCAGGGCTGGGATCTGAGCTCGCACAAATAGCTCCCCGGTGGACTCTCGCCGGGCTCCTGCCGTGCCCGGTGCCGTCTCCCTGCTCCGAGGGGGAAGAGCCGGAGCGCGGAGCCCACCCGCGCTGAGGCA